CTGCTTCGCCAGGCTGCAAATGTGACTCCGGCTCATATTCCAATTCGTCCGGAGAACACGGCTTGTCGTCGGCAATAGCTTGCTTTGCGGGAAAAACAAACGTCTCATCAAGCAGACTGAACTCATACTGCTTAACTCGGAGGGGATTTATATCACCCGTCCGCAACTTGTCCGGCAAATTCTTGAGCGGCAGTACGAAAATTTCATGCGTGTAGGTAAAGCCAGGTTGCACATGATAGCCAACAAAAATGCCGACATCCGAAGTTGGCAGAAACTTGGACTGCTTCGAATCGACGCGCTGACGATTGACCCAATACGACAATTTTGCACCAGATGGAATCTTCGTGTCAGGAAACTCATCACCAAAACGCAAAGCCCACGGCGACTTGTCCTTGTCATCTGGAATTGTAACATTGAGAGCAAATGCATGATGTTGAGCTGCCAAAGGCCAAAGCTCAACCGGCAAACCGCTTTGAAACAAATTTGCCCTTGCTCCCTCCAGGATTGTACGGATCTCGCGCTCGATCACCCCATATGGCTGGCTCAGCACGTGTCTCCAACCCATACTCTTCACCGCAGCTGCAATTTCGCCAGAATTGTCAGAATAGAAAATTCCAACGTGGTCATCTGGCTTCGTGAAATGCTGAAATGCACGAACGCAACTGTCAGCATCTTGCCTTGCTGAAGGGTAAAATTACCGGAACTGCGTGAAAACATCTTTCACAACCAAAGCATTCCACTCGCCCTTGAACCTGTACGTTTCATCATTTGAAATGCCATGGTCAGCAGTGACATGATCTCCAAATGCTTTTGCATCCACTGAAGAAGATCCATGTCTGCGACGAGCTTGAGGTGCTTGCATCTTTGCTCGCACACATGTTTCGCAAAAGGGGTTCTTGGGCCTGTGAGTGAAAAGATGCTCTTCACTTTTGGCCTCACGCATCATCATTTCTTTTGAACGCTTGGACATTGGTTTTGGAGCTTCGGCAACCTCAGGGTTGTCCTCCAATTCCGGATCAAACTCCGGTTCCGGCGGTTCAGCTTCGTCAGGACGCAATGGAAACAATGCAGCATCCGGCGAAGGTTGCCCCCCATCTTCTGATCGGATGCAGCAAGCGCGACAGGCATAGCTGCTTCAGAAGCTATGACCTCGCACTGATCATCTACATACGGAACTCGCCCATCAAGCTTTAATATTACCGCCTTGCCGTCAGGTCGCACAAAGTACGGAGCACTGTTCTTTCTCCATACGAAATCGTACCCCTTTTCCAAGCATCTTTGACCAACAGAAAGAACAGCTGGCGTGCTCGGCAAAACATGCGGAGTGACGACCTCGTTCAACTGATCAATGGAGAAGTCCGAAATCTTGTCTGCACAAATTGTTCCATTTGCTGTTGAAAGATTGACTGGAGTCAATGCAGGGTTAATCTTCTTTTGAAGTGTAACTGCACGCTCAGTGTCAACCAGGTCTTGTTCACTACCTGTGTCGACAATCCACTGACGAAACCCTGCTGGTGCTGGCGTAGCAATATACTCCGGCACTTCATCAAGGTTCGTTTCATCATCATCGATCCAACAACCAGGACAATACAAACCGCAATAAATTGGGTCATCGTCATCATAGTAATCGCAAAAGAACCCACAAGGCGCGTTGTAATTGGCCTGCATCAACTTAACAACCCCTTCCAGAATCAAAGCTTTGTCAATAGCATCGATAAGATCCTTGGGATTTGAGCCAGGCGCATAACCATCATACCACACCACCTCAGGGTCGTTCGGCTTTGGAGCACATGATGGGCATAGCCCGTTGGCCTCGATCTCGACGATCTCGACGTCATCTGCGAATTTGACGCATCTGCGGGTCTTGGAAACATCTGTACTGCAAATGAAAATTGTTTGCCCAGTCCAGTACTGCTCCAAACCTTCATCAGGATCCGCCCAGAAATCACCAAACACTTGCTCTTTGCCATTGGTGTTGGCTTTGGTGATGCGCTGATCCAACAAACATTCCAGCGAAACAGGAAGGTCTTTTGCATGCTTCGGATCATAGAGCGCTTTTCGGGGCATCACATGGTGTCGAATAACCATCTCGTTCACCGAGTCAACTTCCCAGAAATCTTGCTTTGGGCGGCATGCTGCGAGGCATGCATTGGTCTCTTTCACCCTCAGACACACAGCGGCTGAGGACTCGCCCTTTTTTGCTCTGGGATCGCTTTCTTCCTTTTTTTTTTGGGGTGGGAGACCTACCTCTGCTGGCTCCTTTCTTTGGGCTCGGCTTGTCCGTTGCCGGCGCAGCAGACCCATGCGAAAACATGCAGTTGTCTCCTCGAGTACACTTTCCCTGACCACCTTTGAAAAACCTGCACGGGATCTTTTTCAGCTCCGCTCTCTTTCTCGATGCTGACCGATCCCTGTCCCTTCCTTGGCTGTCAGAGCGCCCCCGACCTTTTCCTTTCGGATTCTGGCTCGGGGGTCTTGGGTCTTTCTCATGCTTGTAAATGCAATTCTCCCGAGCGCACTTGCCTTTCTGAAAATCGAAGCAATACTTGACCGCTGAAGGGTCTCTTGCACGCCCGGGATTTGCATTCGGAGCTGGAGCACCGACCTTCTGATTGTGAGCTCGAGCAACACGATCACGATTTGACTGCAATCGCTCCCGAGTCAAAACATCACGAACGGATTGAACAAGAAACTCGTAGCTCTTGTCATACGACCCATCTTTTGCACGCTCGTATGTATCAAGGTCATACTTGATCTTGTGACATCCACGAATCTGTCGCAAGAAGATGTCCTTCAAGACGTGCTGCTCCGGAACGATCTTCATGCCAGCAATGACGGAATCCCAATTTTGAATGAAGGTCATCAAATCATTGCCATGAAGCACCACCTTTGTGGAATACAACGCTCCGGCCTCCTCATTCGTTCTGAAATACTGTTCAAACATGAGAAGAACTTGACGTCCACGGACAACTTTGTGCTCCTTGTACGTAAGGATCTGCCGACTAAGGTCGCCCCTAGCGATCCGCGACAAGGCTGCAAGAAGCTTTGTGTCCAACGTTTCAAACTGCTCTGGATCTCCAAGCTCTAACATGAGGTTCTTCTTGTCCTCCCTGTTGACGTACACCTTATTCACCCAGGTGAATGCAGCGTCAGGCCGACCAGAAGCAGCCCGAATCTCTTCGCGAGTAGCCGTTTTCCAGGCTCTGTAGGTCTCAGGAGTTGGAAACTCACTCAGCCTCAACGAATCAGCTTCTTTTGCTTTTGGCCGATCATGCTGATTCCGGACAAAGCCGAGGGCCGCACGGAACTCCGCCTCGGTGGTCTCGGGACCAGTCAACCGTTCAACATTCGGCTGATTCGTCGGCTGGTTTTGCTGACTTCGGCTGCTTTCTTGCTCCGAAGACCGCCTCGCATGATCTTTGATATCAAACTGCATTGCACCAGAAATAGGATCTGTCCAACTCTGCTGTGGAATAATCTGAGGCATAGGTCCAGAAGTTTGTGCATTCTGTGTTAGAAAAAGACGCGGATCATCAAAGATACTGCCCCTCTTATCTAAAAACGACTCTGAACTGACGTTCTGAAAACTTGATGCAGGTTGGGGATCTCTGCGCACCATCTCACGCTGCGCCCTTTCGAGATCACTCCTCAGACGCTCAACGGTGTCGTTCAGCCCGTTGATCGTGTCCTGCATGGCGTGATTCTCCGCCAAAATACTGTCTCTCTGCTCACCGACCGCCTTCTCCGAGTTCTCCGCCACAACAGTCTCAGCATGTAAGCTTTGTGCGAAAGCGCTATACTGTGCCGTTCTTTGCGACACAGCTTGATTCACTTCGGCAGAAATTGCTCCCCGCGTCTGACTAACCTGGGCGCTGAAGAAAGCGCGGGACTCTGCGAACTGTTCATGCAGCTCAAGAGTCCGGCGGTTGTTCTCCTCATCCAGGGCGATGCACAGTTTCTGCCACATGAGCGCTATATTCCGCCCTTGCAGCATCCATAGCAACGCGATGTAACGTGTTGGCCTCTTCCCTGACAGCGTCACCCGTATCGTTATGTGCATGCATAATGTTCTGGGTGGCTTGGTAGTTTGTCGCAAATCCAAACATGTTTCGAGGATCGCGAGGGTCAACAGGACCATTAGATGCAACTGCATCTTCACCACCGTCACCAACATCTCCAGACATATTGTATATGGCAGGCATATCTCCGGATGCCATGGCGATCTTTGTACAAGCCTTTACGGCTGATAACCTGTGTTATCAAGCCTAGGCCACCTAAGGGAATACCTAGGCACGCAGCAAACCGTTGACTACCTTTTCACACTGCTGTCAGTGATCTTGAAGTCTGTAGCGGGCGGAGCATGTACAAGCACATACATGCACAGGGTTGGAACCTGAATCCACACAAAGCTTCTTGGTGGACATGATGACTAAGAGAAAGCGATTCGAATCGTAAAAAGTAGTAAACACATCGGGTATCCTTGGGCTTTGGAACCTTGACCATGCTGATCCACGCAGAAGGTAGACCGGCCAAGACAAAAAGGGACATATTTGAACCGTGCAGAGGGACCGAGTTTTTGAGCCTCGACCACGCCGATGCAAAGGGTGTCATTTCCGCAGATTGGGTTTGGCCCCACTGCGCCTCCTTAAAAAGGCTATAAGTTTCAATGAGAGTGCACTTTCTCATGCCAGATGTCTCGCCTGAGCTTTCTCGTGCAAGTTGGCTCATGCGATTCCTGCAACTTGCTACGTGTGTTCTCTCGTGCAATTTGCTGCGCTCGCGTTCCCGCGTGCAATTTGCCGCGCGTGTTGCAACTGTTTGCTCCCGTGCTTCTTACTCTCCGCGCGCACTCACGCTTGTACTTGACATATGCTCTCGTGTCTCTTGCTCTCCGTGTGCGCTCTTTTGCATCCTGCTGCTCCTTCTGTGCATCCTTGCCGATAAGGCTAACGATCCCTTCGCGATGCTTTCGGGAAAACACCCGTCCCAACCATTCCGGCCTTCCAAAGTGAAGCCCATACAGTCCTGGGCACATGTTCAGCAATACGTCTTTCTAAGCAGATTGCACATGCAGTCAATGCTGGGCCACATGACACACTCTCTAAACATATACAGTATACTGCCTCGCTACCTCCATGCTAACCCATCCTGACTGTTTTCGCAACATGTGTGTACAACCTCAAGCTGCCGTAAGACTTATTCAGGATCATCTCGGCAATTTTGTCTGCATGTCAGCTGGCTGTGTGTGCAACGCAGGCGCGGCCTTGAGACCAACACACGCTCGCTTTGCTGCCTGGCCAGGGCTGCAAACATCATGTCATCTTCTTGGTATGCGCGGCAGTGCGATGCAAATGCCTCTATTGTCATTTCAGCCACCAACAGGTCGTCACCGTCTAAGCTATACCCGTAGTGCCTGAACAGGAAAAAAGCTGGCAAGTCCAGGAATGGAGGTCTGCCCTGCCTAGTGAACACAGGTGAAGCACGCTCCTGAAGAACTTTGATAACATTCAAGCGTGAGAGCAGGCAAAGCTTTGCTGCCTCCAAAGAAATCTCAGCTGCCGCCGACGTTCGCTAAAACAAGTCCTTTTGGTACGCAATGGCACGGCCGGATGGGATGGGCACCAGGGACCAACCAACCTGAGCGCAGGTTTGAGCTGTGGCAGAGCTCCCCTGAAGACTCGTTGCAACAGACTGAAGACTCGATAAACTATGTGAGCTCAATAACCACTCATGCGTCGGTATGTTCATTTGATGCATGGTGCAGGCCCTGCCTTGAAGTGAACGTCTACAGCTCGGTCCCCCCACTCTCCGGGCAGCAAGTCCTCGAGGCAGCTGGGTTTGTTTTCTATAGTTTGCTTCCGCCAATGTTTTGGTGACAAGCTGGCAAGACATGTGCATGCCAGAGCCCCTACTGCATTTTCCTTCCCGCTGTCCCTCACCAGCCCTGACGTGAAGTCAAACGATGCAACTGCACCCAATACCCAATCTTCCACTTGGTGACCACAATTTCCTGAGCTTTGGTGGGGTGATTCGTTATCGCCAACGCTCGTTTGGAATGGCCTTTGACTGGCCGTCTCCATGAGGGTGGGCACTTTGCAAACGGGGCGCTTGTCATTCAATCATCGCTGATTGAATGCAAAGGTCCCCGGCCTTCAAGTCCATTTGTTGCGCTCCCATTTGCTCCCCTCCCCCCCCTCAGCCTCGCAGCAGAAGCCCATGCAGTTTGGCAAGCTGGTACAGCGAACCTGCCAGGCTAGCCGCCCAACTCTCACACGTCACATGTCAGGTATATGAATTCGGATGCTCCATTGCCAACCGCCAGCCTTCGCAGCTGCCAGTGTCCTGATCTTAAGATGCGCACGGCAAGGGAGCTGAGGTTGGATTCCTTGAAATGTGCTACTTGCAAGCTGAGCGTCATGGTTGCCATGAGTATATCTTCCCCCTCTGCAAGCATGCCAGGGTGCACTGCGAACATGGCCTGTAGTCAAGTTCGCAATAGTGGAAATCGCCTGCAAACATATACCGTCCAACATGCTGCGGTTCATGCGTCATATGTGTTCTGTTCCTTGCAGAGTAAGTTAGAGGCTTCTGGTCGAGATGCGGTACTGGGCTCCTGCAAGCGCACATCTGAACTGGGCTGTATCACAAGGCTGTACAAGGCTACCAGCTGATCGAATTTTCACACACTTTGCGGCTTGGCTGACATGTGCAAAAACAATGGCTCCACAAATAGATCACTCGTGAAAACTTTAGAGCGCACAGCTTATGTAGCCCTAACGGTCATGTAATTGAATAACAAAGCTAGGTGGCTTAACACTCAGCGACCTACTTGGCTGGTTGGTCCGATAATAAATTGGTTCATTGCAGAACGTTTTGCAGTTGGCTACCTAGTTAGACACTCAGCTCGGCAAGTTAGTTGGTTTGCTAGCTGGTTTGTCCGTCAATCACTAAGTCAATGCCAAATAGCCACTCAGCCAGTTGCGCTGGCCAGTTTTCTAGTCTTCTAGGCTAGCTAGTTGGCTGGTGAGGTGGCTTCATCGCTAGGTAATTATACTAGTGTGAGTTCCTTCAACAGTGTGTTTGCTTGTCAGCTAGAGAGCTAGCCAGCTTGTCAGCTGGTTTGCTGGTTACCAAGCAAGCAAGGAAGCACGAAAGAGTGGCGTGAATGAGACGTAAAGGAGTAAAGGCGAAAAGATGCGGAATGAGTGAGCCACTTAATTGGCTAGCCCGTCACTCAGTAGGTTGGCCATAGATAGTCAGCTTCAGTTACACAGTTAGCGATCAAGTGAGTTACTGAGTCATTCCAAAATTAGAGAGTCTGTGCGTCAAGCATTTGGCTTGTGCTAGGTAGCCCTCATTCACTTGCTCGCCGGTATTGTTCAAACACACCCACGGTAGGCAAAGCCTTACATAGAATGACTGCTATAGACAATCCAAGGAGGCAACACAATTCAGCCGGAACATGCACATGCACCAACAAGAAACTGTAGACCAAGCCTGCAACACCGCAATGGTCGGTCAGTTGAATTTTCAGCTTGATGGTTTGTTGCTTGTTTGCTTGCTTCTTTGGTTGCTTATTTGCTTGCGAGCTAGCAACTGATTGGTTGGCTTCTTGGCCAGGTGCGGGAAAGTTGGGTAGTCAGTAAGTAGCTGCTTGGATGCCCGAGTTGAACCTGCAGCGTCCCACCGCCAAAGTCCGCAGATGATTTGCCGTTTGGATGGGGCGCTGAACGTGCCTTTGCGCCTGCTTTCTGGCCCTGGGCCTGCCTAGTTCTGGCGTCGCGCGAATCTGCTGATAAGCGAATTGCTACTTTAGGTGATGCCTCTCACAGGTACCTGCAACTCACTCACTCACCCTCCCTCCCTCCCTCCCTCCCTCCCTCCCTCCCTCCCTCCCTCCCTTCCTCCCTCCCTCCCTCCCTTGCTCCCTCCCTCCCTCCCTCGCTCGACAATCACACCAGCAACAAGGTGTTCTGTGCCAAGGATGCTGTCCTGACGGAAATAACAGGGTGTTCCTTGCGGACCTGGGCGAGGCCAGGCCAGCACGCCGGCTGAGGGATGCCGTTGTGCAGGGGTGGGGGCCGCCAGTTCATCCATCCGGTTTTTCTCTTAACAGTACTTGATTGCTATGCATACATAGCGTGTCTGACACTAGCTCACTAATACTGAAGTTTGGGAGTTGCTCGAGCATTTGCGCCGACTGGCCGCCTAGGTCCTGCGGGAGTGGGTGTCCAAAGTGAGAGCAGCCGCTGTTGTATAAAGTTTTGTCTCACATGTAGGTCGTGCAAGCGCGCAGCACTCGCTCACTCACTCACTCACTCACACACTCGCACACTCGCTCGCTCACTCACTCACTCACTCACCCGCTCACTCACTCACTCACTCACTCACTCACTCACCCACCCACTCACTCACTCACTCACTCACTCACCCGCTTGCCTCACCTCACCTCACCTCATCCTGAAAGTCCCTTGTTGAAGAACGCAGCAAACTCATTTCTTAGATGCAACCAACACCCCTTGTCATTTGCCAGAGAGGCAGGTATCAATTCTCCCGGCAAGAGGCCCCAAATAGTTTGGAGCGTGGCTTAACTTGACTCATGGCCCGGAAGCATAGAAACACGCTGAATCCGCCGACCCCTTGTCCTGAAAGGGGGAGGCGCACGGGAAGGGTGGAAGGTCATCACTATTGCATCAGCGTGTCTTTCTTACACATATATGAAGTGTGGGGCCAGTGTGGGGCCAGGCTCGATTGGTGATGCAGAGGATGCTACAATGATAGTTGTGATCACAATCCCTTATCATCATCATCAACATCATCATCATCATCAGCATTAGGCTCAATTGGTGATGCACAGGATGCATTGGTGATGCAGAAAATGCGTCGGCGACCATTAAGTTGGCTTCGGACCACGCTCATCCGAAACTTGCTCGGATGAGCGTGTTGACAGCTGGTGGAATTGGCCCGCTACACACAATCAGCATCATCATCAGCATCATCATCATCATCATCATCATCATCCGGTATTGGTTTCTTCTGCATACTTGAAGTCTGGCGTTTGGCTCAATTGGTGATGCAGAGGATGCTACGATGATACTTCTGATCACCCTCTTAGCGAAATTGGTGATGCGCAGGACGCGTTGGTGACACAGGCGATACTACGACGAAAATTAAATTTGTGTTGGACCATGCTCATCCGAAACTTGCTCGGATGAGCATGTGCTCGTTGACAGCTGATGGAATTGGCTCGATAGGTGATCTAGGTGATCATTCACGCGGATGGTTCCCGGCGAAGCTGTGGCTACGTGGTGATGCTCATCGCCTACGTGGTGATGCTCGTCGCCTTTGTATTCCTATTATACGCATTTCAAAAGTCACTTTAGGCACAGTTGGAGATGCCGGCGATGCGTAACGATGCTTATCATCATCCCGATCATCGCTGCTGGAGATGCTACGGATGCGTAGGGATGCTTCTCATCATCCTGCTCATCACTGCTGGATGCGTAGTGGTGATTATCAATCACGCGGATCATTGCTGGCGAGGCTGTGGCTACGTAGTGATATTCCTATTATACGCATTTCAAAAGTCACTTTAGGCACAGTTGGAGATACCGGCGATGCGTAACGATGCTTATCATCATCCCGATCATCGCTGCTGGAGATGCTACGGATGCGTAGCGATGCTTCTCATCATCCTGCTCATCACTGCTGGAGATGCTATGGATGCGTAGTGGTGATTATCAATCACGCGGATCATTGCTGGCGAGGCTGTGGCTACGTAGTGATATTCCTATTATACGCATTTCAAAAGTCACTTTAGGCACAGTTGGAGATGCCGGCGATGCGTAACGACGCTTATCATCATCCCGATCATCGCTGCTGGAGATGCTACGGATGCGTAGTGATGCTTCTCATCATCCTGCTCATCACTGCTGGATGCGTAGTGGTGATTATCAATCACGCGGATCATTGCTGGCGAGGCTGTGGCTACGTAGTGATATTCCTGTTATACGCATTTCAAAAGTCACTTTAGGCACAGTTGGAGATGCCGGCGATGCGTAACGATGCTTATCATCATCCCGATCATCGCTGCTGGAGATGCTACGGATGCGTAGTGATGCTTCTCATCATCCTGCTCATCACTGCTGGATGCGTAGTGGTGATTATCAATCACGCGGATCATTGCTGGCGAGGCTGTGGCTACGTAGTGATATTCCTAGTATACGCATTTCAAAAGTCACTTTAGGCACAGTTGGAGATACCGGCGATGCGTAACGATGCTTATCATCATCCCGATCATCGCTGCTGGAGATGCGTAGTGATGCTTATCATCATCCTGCTCATCACTGCTGGATGCGTAGTGGCGATTATCAATCACGCGGATCATTGCTGGCGAGGCTGTGGCTACGTAGTGATATTCCTATACGCATTTCAAAAGTCACTTTAGGCACAGTTGGAGATGCATGATGCTTATCATCATCCTGATCATCGCTGCTGGAGATGCACGGATGTGCTATCATCGCACATGCGTAGTGGCGATTATCAATCATTGCCTGTGGCTACGGTGATATTCCTATTATGCAAAAGACTTTAGGCACAGTTGGAGATGCGATGCTTATCATCATCATCGCTAGATCATGCGCTGCTCATCACGGGAGATGCGATAAAGGATCATTGCTGGCGAGGCTGTGGCTACGTAGTGATATTCCTATTATACGCATTTCAAAAGTCACTTTAGGCACAGTTGGAGATACCGGCGATGCGATGCGTAACGATGCTTATCATCATCCCGATCATCGCTGCTGGAGATGCTACGGATGCGTAGCGATGCTTCTCATCATCCTGCTCATCACTGCTGGAGATGCTATGGATGCGTAGTGGTGATTATCAATCACGCGGATCATTGCTGGCGAGGCTGTGGCTACGTAGTGATATTCCTATTATACACATTTCAAAAGTCACGTTAGGCACAGTTGGAAAAGCCGGCGATGCATAGCGATGCTTCTCATCATGCTGATCATCACTCCTCTTGATCAATCAATCACGCGGATCATTGCTGGCGAGGCTGTGGCTACGTAGTGATGACCATCGCCTTTGTATTCCTAGTATATACATTTCAAAAGTCACGTTAGGCACAGTTGGAGATGCCGGCGATGCATAGCGATGCTTCTCATCATCCTGATCAGCATGACTGCTGGAGTTCCACGGATGCGTAGTAACGATCCTCGTGATGGCCCCTGGCATCTCCAGTAGCAGCCATGACAATCATCACTACGCATCCCTAGCAGCTCCAACAACGATCAGGATGATGATAATCACCACTACGCATCCGTAACCATCACTACGCATCCCTAGCATCTCCAGTAACAACGATGACACTCATCACATCTCTAGCAGCAATACGCATCCTGAGCATCTCCAGCATATGTGATATTCATCACTACGCATCCCTAGCATTTCCAGCAGCATTGACGATGATGACCGTCGCTACGCATCCCTAGCATCTCCAGTCGCAGGGCTGATTATTATCATCATCATCGTCATCAGCGTTGGGCTCAAATGGCGATGCGCAGGATGCATTGGTGATGCAGAAAATGGCTTTGGGTGAAGCTCATCCGAAACTTGCTCGGATGAGCCTTGCAGCTGGTGGAATTGGCCCGCTACACACAATTGGCGATGCGCAACGCATTTGTGACGCAGAAAAAGGGTCGACGACCATTAAGCTGGCTTTGGACCACGCTCATCCGAAACTTGCTCGGATGAGCTACACAGCTGGTGGAATTGGCCCGCTACACACAATCAGCATCATCATCATCATCAGCATCATCATCCGGTATTGGTTTCTTCTGCATACTTGAAGTGTGGCGCTAGGCTCAATTGGTGACGCAGAGGATGCGACGATGATACTTCTGATCACCCTCTTAGCCCAATTGGTGATGCACAGGATGCATTGGTGATACAGGCGATACTACGACGATAATTAAATTTGCGTTGGACCATGCTCATCCGAAACTTGCTCGGATGAGCATGTGCTCGTTGACAGCTGATGGAATTGGCTGGCTAGACACATGATCATCATCATCCTTCTCACAATCATCATCCAGTATGTCTGTCTTCTGCACACTTGAAGTGCGGCTCTGCGATGATTATCCTCGTTGCTACTGGAGATGCTAGGGTCATCATCATCCCGATCATTGCTGCTGGAGACGCCAAGGATATGTGGTGAGGATCATCGTCATTGCTGCTGGAGATGCTGGGTTTGCTTTGTTTCACGCTCATCCGAAACTGGCTCGGATGAGCATCTGCTCGTTAACAGCTGGTGGAATTTTCTCGCTAGACACCTGCTTATTATCATGATCACCATCATCGTCATCATCCATCAGCATCACTGGCATCGTATCATCATAGTCGTCATCATGACGATCATCAGCATTTTTTGTTTTCTCCGTTTCGCGCTTGCTCGCTTCTCTCTGGTTGTATGACGATAATTAAACTGGCTGTGGACCATCTTAGGCGCATGCTTTTTGTTTTTAAGAATCGCGTTCGGCGCTGTTGCAGATGCAGGGTTTGCCACACTAGAGATGCTGGGGCTGGGGATGGTGAACCAGGGGATTCTACGACGATGCCCAAATTTGATTGGGGTCACGCTCATCCGAAACTAGCTGGGATGAGATCCGCGACAGCTGGTGAACTTCGCCCGCTAGACACAGGACCCTCGTCATCATCATCACCGTCATCATCATCATTCATCATCGTTGGCACATGTCATGGTAGTCATTGTCGTGATCACGCCCGTCCGAACGTAGCTGGGATGAGCGTCTGCGACAGCTGGTGAAATTCGCCCGCTAAACAGAACCCTCGTCACCATCATCACCGTCATCATCATCATTCACTCAGCATGGTTGGCATCGTGTCATGGTCGTCATTGTCATGACGCTGAGCAGCATCCTTTTCTTTTCCTACGTCTCTTTCGCACTTATTCGCTTACTTCTTGTTGTACTTCAGATTCAGAGTTGGAGATGCAGCGGGTGGCACGCTGGAGATGCTGGGGACGCGTAGCGATGCCTCTCATCATCACGGCCCGCGCTGCAGGAGATGCTGGGGCCGCGTAGTGGATGCTCCGATGTAGAGTAACCTAGGAGGATCGACTTGGGGGCCGGTGCGCAACGCGCCAGCTCCGCGGCTCGCCCTCTAAGAAGGCTTCGCCAGCGAGTTCCGTGCTGCGAGCGCTGCAGTACTTGGCGCCCCTCGCATCGCTGCAATCGCACGCCAAACTTGTGCAAGGATGCTGTCCTTCCGCCGAGCACGCGTTCTAGCAATTTGCTAGCGGCTTCTACGCGCAACGTCTTCCAGCTGTTGCTCTGCTAAGCATGCGTCGCACGTCTGCGTTCCGTTCCTGCTGCGTTGCTGTCGCACGTGCCTTCTAAAACACTTTTTCGGCAGTGGTGTCTTGCAGGCTGCGCAAATCCAAAACCCTCGTTGCTTCTGTTTGCGTGTCTTGCATTTTTTACGACATCGCTCGCGAGCGCGCCACGCAGCCGCGCTGAAGTCTTGCTGCTCTTGTTTTGTTTCTCTGCAGCTGTAGCACTCTTGGGTTTCTTTGTAATTCAGACACACGCGCCGGTATGTTGCCCTGCTGTGCTGCCGCCTCTTGTGGAAGGCACTAGTAGGCTGCCAGCATTTGCAAATGCAGCACTGCCACGGATGACCGCTCCGTTCGCGCCTGCCAACACACTCCTTGCATACACGGTCACTGTCGGCGCGCTTCCATTAACCAGCTGCGTAGCCGCGTGGTTCTTTGCGTTCTTGACACTCGCAGCATGGCTTCTCAACAACATACTGTGATCGGATTTGCTCCCAGTCTATCGACTCTCCCCGCCACACGCGGAGCAACAGGTTTCGCCCCGCATCCTCCCCGTGCTGGAAAGGTGCCAGGTCAGAGGGACGAAATATGAGTAAGCGTTCACGACTTTCGACCCGCGCCGCGTGACGGCGACATAGCATGTCAAGGGGTCGTCTCCAAGTCGAATCGCGATGTCAGCAACCAGGCGCGCTGGCAACTCTGCGCTCACCATGCTCAGCTCGTCTAGCAAAAGCCGTCGCCACTGCGTTGCCGCGGCAGTTAATTCTGCCAGGCGCGCTTTGAAGCCGACGCCAGTTTCCTCTCCGCGCTTGTTCAGGCCCACTGCGTGATGAATTGTGTCGCTTTGTGCTGCATTCCCTGTTGCCATTGCAAGACGCCATCAAACAACTCCGCGCGAATTAATCTCAACACGTGCGACTTCCCGTGCCCGGCCCTCCGTGTAGAGCCCAGCGCAGCGGCTCGGTCGGTGACCTCTGGCGCAAGTTCTCGGCTTCGCCGGTGTTTTCTTTCCTTGCCGGATGGCCCGCCCCGCTTTCAAAGTTGGGCAGGGAGGGGGGGGTCGGCGGCACTGGTAGCCCTTAAATCCGGCCGCGGCCAACTGGCCGAACGGCTGTGTCAGGTTACCCCCTTGGTCCTTTGGAGGAAGGCTCTAGAGCGAAGCTCTATGGGGCTGCCGCAACGTGCCGCCGGCCCTGATGCGGGTGAAGAGGAAAGTGATGAGCATCACCTGCTTGGTTTTTGTGGGTCTGCGGGCTTGTCCCGGTGATGCGGGTGATGCTGGTGATGCTGGGGATGTTGCTGGGAGCTGCCTTCCACACAGCGTCCTTCTGCAGCCGTGAAACACTGGAAAGCACGCGAAAATGCGAACTTTTACTGCAAAAAACGAGGAGAACGTTTGGTTTTGACATGCGTTTTGCGTGGCAACTGGCCCAGGCGTGCGTGCGCGTGCAGGCGCGCTGGCCTGCGCGCGCGCGTGCTTGCGCGCATGTGCGTGCTTGAGTTCATGCCTGCGTGCTTGCGTGCGTGCGTGCGCGCGCGCGCGCGCACCTGCGTGCGTGCAGGGGCGGCGCGCGCGCGCGTTGCGCGCGCGAGCCGCGTGTGTGCGTGCTTGTGTGCGTGCGTGCGGCGCACGTGCGTGCGTGCGCGCGCGCGTGCGTGCGTGCGTGGGTGGGTGTGTGTGGGGTGCGCGCGTACGTGTGTGGGTGTGGGTGTGGGTGCGTGGGTGGTGCGTGGGTGCGTGGGTGCGTGGGTGCGTGGGTGCGTGGGTGCGTGGGTGCGTGGGTGCGTGGGTGCGTGGGTGCGTGGGTGCGTGCGCGCGGGTGCGTGTGTGTGTGTGTGTGTGTGTGTGTGTGTGTGTGTGTGTGTGTAAGTGTGTAAGTGTGTAAGTGTGTAAGTGTGTGTGTGTGTGTGTCTGTGTGTCTGTGTGTGTGTGTGTGGGGGGGGGGTGAGTGCGTGGGTGCGTGAGCGCGTGCGTGGGCGGGTGGGTGGGTGTGTGTTGCGCGTGAGTCTGGTGTGTGTGTGTGTGTGCCTGTGTGCGGGTGCGTGCGTGGGTGGGTGTGCGTGCGTGAGCGCTCGTGCGTGCCCGCGTGTGTGCTTGTGCGCGCGTGCCTGCGTGCGGGCGGGCGGTGAAGGGGACATGGCGAAATGACGGGAAACGGAGAGAAAATAGATGGAAAATGTGCAAGATGGATGGAAAACTGAGGGAAGATGCTTGGAAAATGGATGTGTGTATGTGTGCAAGTCAGGAAATGTATGTATGTTTATGTTGTTGTTGTCGACGCTGCTGCCTGCTTAGCCGTCCTTGCAAGAGCTGTGAAGTTGAGCCTCGCGATGCTGCCACGGCCGGTTGTGCGCCAGCAACGTAAATCCGGCCTCGCGCGCGATGTCGCCCAAAAGGGCGCACGCCTAGGCTTTGCCTTCCGACTGACGGTCGCTGCCGACGACCCCTCACATCGTCTGCATGCCCAGCGCCTTTTGTGCATCATCACCGCCCGGGCGGCCATTGGAGCTCGAGTTGGCGAAAGGCTCAAAACACTGCAAATATGCAGCAACTCGGCTGCATTGCCAGCATCACTGAGGCTTGCGGAAGCCCTTGTATTTCACGCATCGGCTGCATCCCTTGCATCGCCTGCAACTTGGGCCATTCTTCCACAAGTCATTCCTGATGGCGCGCGCGTGCGTGCGTGCGTGCGTGCGTGCGTACGTCGCGCGCGGGGGAGGGCGGGCGGGCGGGCGGGCGGGTGGGTGTGCGCGCGCGCTCTCCCAGCAATCCGTCCATCCATCCATCCGTCCCCCATCCCATCCATCCATCCATCCATCCAGCCGTCCAGCCGTCCCTCCGTCCACCAGCCATCAAGCCATCCATCCATCCGTCCATCCATCCACTCACCATCCCGCCATCCATCCACCCACCATCGCGCAATGGCACGCGAGGCCGGTGCGCGGAGCGTGAAAATAAACTCTTACGCCTCCACCGCCCGATGAGCATCAAACACAAAACACGTCAGTGTCTCTGCTCAAGCAAAGCTTCTGCATCCCTGATGATCTAGCTTAGCATCATGCTTCACAATCTCTCCGTTCGACTTCTCTTGCGCGCGAAGCGTTGGGTTTAAGCTGTGAGTGAAGCTGTGCGTGATACAGCGCGTGATTTTGCACATGATGCGCGTAACGCTCACAAAAGTATCCACATTTTGTAGATGTGCAGCTTTCCGGACATCCAAGCGGCATTCCCTGCCTGAAGCTTCCACGAGTAAACCATGCTCGTCAGGGTTGGAGACTTGTTCGGGGCTTCGTCGCGCCTTCAGCGTCGTGATTCCATTGCAACTCAAAGTGCAGCAGAGATGCGCACCCGTCATGAAGCAAGAACTCCACCGGCCTCAGTAGACGAATCTTTTTCACGCCCAACATGAATAGAAGAAGGGTTCGTGAAGCGAGCGAGACATGGACCAGCAAACAGTATCTGAGCCAGTCAATATTGATTGTCCCCACAGCTGACACGCGAACTTGGCGAGTATTCCCTAACGGCAATGTGGTCAGTCTGACCCATGGCATCCCCTTTACTAGGGCAAATGATCGCAAATATTACTATGGTTCACCCGAAGCGAAAGCTGAGCGAAAAAGAGTCTCCCTTAGAACGACTTTGCGTTTCTACTCAGGCATTCAGCATACACAACAAGCACTTTCATTTCTGATTGGGGTCCATGCAGTTCATCCGGGCTTAGGCCGCCATCAATCTCACCTGCCTGACAAGACGGAGGTAGACGAATCACACTTCCAAAACGTGTCACCTGGTCCTCGTTCTGGTGTTGGAGCAATCCTTCTAGACCAGCATCTTGGTTGTCCTTGCTAGCGATGCGCTTCGTCGCTCTGTCGCTTTGCGCATTCACGAAAGGCAGCTTTGCCAGCTCTGTGCTGCTCAGACGCTGCAGACATACCAGGTACGCAAATCACATTTTTGGCACCCATGTGCAGCAAGCAAGGCACCGTGGATGAGCCCTGGCACATCGCACATGCGCAAAAACTGCTGAACCAGCCTTTGCCGCTAGCTACTTAGACTTTTCGCAATTACTTGAATCTCAAGCCAATTGACGAGTGTAAAGCAACGAGCCACGTTGTCTTCACTTTGACACTGACGGAGCCCTGCCAGGATTAACGATGGCTTCTCGAGGAGCATCACCAACTTGCAGCTTTCTGTGCCTCCCATCCCCAGCCACATTCCCATGCTCAAAACATCCGCATCTCTCAAACGGCAGTCCTTGGACGATGCTTTGTCCGCTAGCAGCAGACAGTGCTGTATTTACTGAAACCAGCAAGTCCTCCTTCGCAATCCACAAACATCCCTCGGCAAACAAAGGCAGTCGCCGCATTTTTTTCGGCAGTCCTCGAATATCTCTGCAAGCTTTCCACGCCAAATGATGAGCAGTGAAGCTGCTCTCAACGTAATGACCGCTGTCATCTCAGCTCCTTAGTTCCAGTAACGCTTGACAATAGCAAGATATGGCAAGATATGGCCAGGCTCATGGACTCATGTCGATAGGCGCATTGCGTTCAATCCAGCGGCCACATTGGCTGAGGGCAAGTTCCGACGCCTGCTTCACAGCCCAGGCCTTCCAAAAGAACGAGCAGTTCCGCGACAAGAGCAAACTTTACCTTCGAAGCTGTTCAAGCAATACACAAACACTTCACCGGAGCCTGGATGGCAGTCTGCCCACCATTGCAGGGCTTTGGGCTAAAGAGCGTCCCAGCAGAATGGAGTAACATCCAGCTCACTAGCCACCGCGCCTGCCAGCTTCAAGCAGTGAATCCAATATCTGTGGGGAATGCGAAGCTGCATTCACACCCCAAATTCTTAAGAGACATCCAAGCCATGATATAGGGTGCAGCTGTGGCATGTGTAAACGACAGCAGGCAGCAGGCAGGTCGGCTTTCGATGCTGCTTTCACAAAACATTCCTCCTCTGGGGAAACTGGGCAAGCAGCTTCAGGGCTGATCACTTATTTTCCACCGATGCTTGCGTCTACTCCTCCATCCACATCCTACCAACGTCTGCCCATTCCAGTGAAACTCCACTCCAACTCCGATTCCTGTTCCAAGGAACTTCTACCTCTTTCTCCCGCTCCAAACCAAGATCTGCTTGCCGAAGAACAACAAATCATTGGGTGATAAAATCTATATAAATTGTCACTTGACCGCCAACCCCGCAGCAAGCGGACCAGACATGACCAGACCACAATCATAGCTGCTCGAATAGCTTCTGTTTTGACTTACACTTGATTGATCCTGGCCGTTTCCAGAAAATTCAGGGAACATTGCAACCACTGTTTTCTTGCCGAAGTTCAATTGATAAGACAAGGGGGCAACGAGCCAAGGACCCAGGGGACAAAGACTGCGTATCATGAAACATTCTCATGAACAGTGCCTCTGCTCCTAGCACGCTCAAAGACAAACAGTTGAACAACCGTGCAAGTGCCAGCGAGCAGCTTTTTAGCTGGCTCCACAGGACGTAACAAGAGTGCCTGGCCGCGCTCAGCCTGAACCAAAATGATCCTTCTGAGGGCAGGGTAGGGGCTTCAAGAACCAAAACTAGACGACGCGTGGCCGGAAAGCGCTCAGCCACGCGAGGCTGCCTTTTTCATCGAAACAAAAGGCCACCAAGCTTAAGACAAGAGTATCCGCGCAGTATGCTCTGCGCAAGCTGCTCCGTGCAAATGTCTTTGCGCGAGAGCTGTAGGAGAGAGCATCGCGTACTACTTTTGCACTGAAGAGCTGCGAATTTCGATTGTTCTGCTATGCTTGTGCTGAAACGCTGCTAGTTTGGAGCTGGAGCTGAGGGAGTGCACGTCGCGTAGTACTTGTGCGCTTAAAGTTGCGATTCTAGCTTCAAAAAAGCCTGTCCGTGGACCAGAGGGGTCAAACCCGCAACTTCCGAAAATTCATCCAAACACCCACACACGGCACCCTGGCTTTCACAAATCCGCCTGCTCGATCCCGCAACGAACCAACAAATTGTACAATGCTTGGGTCCATGCGCATCGGTCACGCGGATCCTTGCAGCGGGTCGCGATTTCGCCAAGCGTCGGTCGTGCCGCGCCTGAAAAAACGACCTTCAATTCCGAGGACAGGCGCGATCTCCACAACTCTGTGTCGTATCATTGCGCCACAAAAAGGATCAACAAGGTGCTTCACGTGAAATCTCACACGTCAATGTGAAATCTCTGTACCACTTTGTGGCACACGTCGACATGATGTCTCATGTGTAAGCACAAAGTAAGATCTCTGGGCATGCAAGAAGCAGCCGGTCTTCAGACCAAGTCTTCTGCGCTATCTATATGTGGGCTCTGCGCGCGATCTCTGTGCGCATTTGTTTTTGGTATGCGTGTCGCTCTGTGCGCCGTCTCTCTGCCAAGAGGCGGGTTTTCCGCTAGGACCCTTCGCAATGCCGCCAGCTTTCAAGAAAAATGAGATCCCTGCGTGCTTACAAATACATATATGGCAGCTGATCAAAACTCCTGCTTCCGGAGAACACCATACCTCGCGAGAAAAACTTGTCTTTCGCAAACCTTTCGCCACTCCATCGTCACACTGTGCAGCGTGCGCCCTGGAGACTTTGTTGCTGCTCAGTTGCGCGTGCGAACCCAGTGCGCGCGCTGGCGGGCTTGCAGCAGCGTCACTACAATTCCCATTCGCCCACTCCATTTGCGCTTGTTGTGACTGCTCGCCTTCTCCGGTCTTTGCCGACGTTTCGTCGAAACTTGCTCCAAAAAAGCCCAACGTTTCGCTTTGCGCCATTCCCAGCGCAGGCAAGGAATCAAGGGCGCAAGTAAAAATGTGCTGCGCGTCTACAAGGGAGTGGGCACTGCAAATATGTAAGGGTACAAGCATGCCTCCAAGAAGCTTTCGCACAATACTTCACGAAAAACAATTCATGGACCTTTCGCAGGCACAAAAGTTTGACATCGAGTAAAGGACAGCAGGCATGTTCCAAATCAGTCTAAGGTGCCCCGTTAGTAACCCAAATGGCTCCATTTTTCTGCATCTCCCTTTACCCGTATTCACCCTTACTTACCCTTATTTGTCCTTGCTTACCAGTCTGCGCGCTTATTTACCATCATTTACCTTACTTTGTTTGAACCACGGTCAAAGCTTACTTATGGTGTAACTCAACAATATTGGAATTTTGCAAGCAACCCCATTTTTCAATGGCAATTTGGTGAGCTGTATCAATGTCATCCATTTACAACAGTAAACGCCGGAAAGTGTTGACCCAATCTCACATGTTCTGTCCGCTCACACACACACACCACCTTCACTTCTCTCTCTCCCTCTCTCTGGCTAGACTATCTCACTCCTGCCCAGCATTAGCCGTTTTGGCGCGTACTGCCTGCTAAAAATGTCGTCTTGATCAAAGCAGTTGAGTTCTCGACACATCCCTGAAAATGACTGGCCGGGCAGTCTTCGCGAATGCCACTATTTGAAATGGGACATGTCGAATACAATGATATGTCTAATGCAACGTTCACGCAGTCAACACGCTCTGTCCATGATAGCCGTGCCGGCAATTCTCGCATTTACTTGCTGCTGCGTGCCTCGAGTGGAGCTGTTTCAAGACCTTCCTTCTGCGCTTTCGGCTTTATGGCTCGGAACGAGCACACCTCACAAGTAGACAACATGGCAAAGTAATTGCGAGCTGGATCATAACACGGTTGCCACCGCCAACCCCACATCTTGGCGGCACCTGTTGCGACTCTGTGCAGGTGGACGCTCTTGCGGCTGATGAAATTTCTTCCTAGGCCAGTGTGACTGCCATTGTATCATTTCATCTGCACCCTCATGATGAACACAAATGACCAGGTTGCAGCCTTGCATCCAAGGCGGCATCAACAGACAAGTTGAACGTATCCACTGTCCTCTCAGTAAATGCTGATCATCCAAATGTGTGGAATGTCGTTTGGCCTCGAGGATCTTGCCAGAAGTGATGTCAACCCGTAGATCTGGAGAACAGCGCAGGAAACTTGCAAACCTTGGCCACACGTGGCAATTCAAGAATCAAGCTTGAGCTTTCATGCCGCGCTTTGTCACCATCGTGGGTGCAATCAAATCCGAGCCCTCTTCTCAAAAGGGGAGGCGCGTGGGAAGGGTGGAGCATGCGCGGACAGCCTAGACTCCTCCATGCCTATCTGGGACGAGAACTTCATAGACTAAAATGGCCGACGCCGCCAACCCCGTGGCTGCGTGCTACGCAGGCCAAAATGGCTGATTTCGCACGCACCCCGTGGATGCATGTGAAATCATTTAGCCTGGCGCCGCTGGAGATGCGACTGTTGCCCAGTCTCCTCCATCCAAGCCCGGTTGCTCAGGCTCCTCCAGGCCTCTTAGAACCTTCTACTCCAGCGCGAACATTCAGGAAACAGCAGATGTAAGTTCCGGCGTCGCTGCGACGATGAATTCGGTGGCCTGCGCCACCGAAGGTGCATGCAGGGATGCTGAAACGCGCTTTTTGGAATGTTCCGGGTCGGTTTTTTGGTCTGCTGGCGTGGTGATGTGGGTGATGGTGGTGTGAAAGGGTCCTGCCTTCCACACAGCATCTCGTATATGAAAACGTCAAGTCATGCCAAGTCACGGTGTCCCTCAGGAGTATCGCGATGGTGCCAGTTGCGCATCTTGCAGCTTTTGATCTCCTGCAGAGCTTAGAGTTGTTAAGTACAACCCTCCCATTCAACTAGCGTCCTCCAAGATTCCCCAGATGGTATGAGCTCCCGCAGCATGCATTGCAGAGAACATTCGCACCTCAGAAGCTTGAATCGTTGCCAGGTGTTGCTTTGAATCCCATTTAGTCAGGCCAAGCGGCCGCCATGCGTGACACAGCGGCAGGAATTGGTGGAGTTCCAGGTTGGCTGCAGCCAAAGCACAGCTCCTGGGGAGTCGTTTGCAGCACCAGTCCGCCGAGGACATGAGCTTCTTAACATACAGGCAAGTTCAAACAACAAACAGTCCAGAAGGAACCTTGCATGTAGCAAGGTGGCCATCTGCAACTCTTGCAGAGGGTCAAAAGGCCTGCAAACGGCACGCTCATCGTGCTGAACGCGCTTATCTTCTGCGCAACAGCTGCGCCACGCTCTGCTGGTGAATTTGTAAACACTTCTTCTTGAGGGCCTCTTGGCAAATGTTTATTGCCCCCAAGTACGGGCGCTCAATCTGTCAACCCGCCTCAACAACGACAGCACATGCTGCACCTTGGTGTAGACCACCTGACGCAACCAAATGTAGGTGGTCACGCAATGTATGTCGCTTCCTCGGGCAGCCGATCGTGCTGATCTGTTGCCTCAAACGCAACCGCGCTGTTGCAAACAAGGCGGGCCAAAGAACCCCCACGAAACCAAGCAATTGTCAATCATCAACTCAACCAAATGCAAGTGCTTTGAAAGAGCAACGATTTGCTCCTTGACTAGTGAAGTGGAAACCAATGGGATAACCGAACATGCAAAAACCGTTGGGGAACACCCCCCAAAAACAAGGTTCACCCAAAACAACTGTGATCGCTGGGACTCGCTCCACTTGTTGCTTGGCCAGTGCTCACTAAAAACACAAATAACCAAACCAAAAAACATCATCGACACACAACGCACCATTTTTAAAGAACAGACCAATTTGAAACCAACGCTACAAACCCAACTCCAGTCTAATCAGGAGACCCCTCAGCCGTGAACACTTTTTGGCTTTAAATTCAATCCTGTCGTGTCTATCGTTGGGGCTGCATTGGCGCTGCTCTGGATTTACAACAACACTGCTGCTTCAGGGCTCATCGCAAGGAGTGTCCCCAAGGTCATCAGTAGCATGTCTCCACCAGCACACGCCTTCGGCGCTGTCCTCTTATATACTGTCTCCGGAACCGGCGCAAGAACGTCACGTACAGGCGGACCAAATCCCAGGCAACCCCCCCCCCTCGGCACTCCACAGCGCCAGCACTCAAAAACACAACGCATCAAGGCACACCCCAAAGCTAACCCAAAGAATACTGGCCGTCTCCGCAGCGCGAAGCGTTTACAATTACAGTGCGCAACTTGCTCCGTGCGAGTGGCTACGCACAAGTGGCTCAGTGGCTCAGTGCAAACGGCTCTGCGCAAGTTGCTCTGTGCAAGTTGCTCTGCGCGAGTCGCTCTGTTCACGTTGCCCTGTGCAACTTGCTCCAGGCGCTCTGTGCATTTTGCCCTGCGCAAGTTTATCTGTGCCAGTTGCTTTGCAGCCATGCTGACTTCATTTCCTACACGCACATGGCTTGCTTACGAACTTCCAGCATCCAGCTTCGCTGGTGCGTACCGGCAGCACCACCAATATGCACATAAGTTACATAGCACACATTACATAAATACACACATTACATTCCATCACATTGCATCACCTCACACTACATCACAGTATGCACACGCATCTACATACAACACATTGCTTTACAATGCTTCCGCACATTTCACAACACACCATCACTGCACACAAGGCATCCCCAAGTACGTTGTACCTCCAGTAAACTCACATTTGGACGCCGCAAGACATACGAGGCGCTTGCCTGAAACCGACTTCACATCTCAGCTCTCGGCCATCGCTGCTCCCACACACACTGCCGACCTTGCACTCAAAGCCAGAGAAAGATCGCGCCAACGCAATGGCGCAATATTCCACGCAATGCATCCGTTCAGTGGTGAAAGCATGGCTGAGACAGTGGCGTAATCCTTGCCGAGATTGCGTACCCAGACTCCTGCTCTTTGGCAGCATCCTTGCAACAGATCCCGTCCACAAGATAACACTAATTTGCGAAGCAACCACGTCTCTCTGGCAGCCTGGCTCCCAGGACTTTCCAGAGCTGCAAGAGCGTCCAGCAGGCCTTTGCTTCAACAGCTTCATTGTTGCCGAATACCTTTAGTCTAGCGGTCCCCCTTTCCGTATAGCTGGGCCAATTCTCAGCAAAAACACTGAGATGTCGTCACAAAGATCTGCCAGATTGAAAGGGCATCTGCTTTTATTTGTGGTCTGGGCTTCCCCTTGCTTGCCTTCCCTTACTGGGCTTGAGTATGGCTTGAAGGGGCCGTCGACTCCCTGGTAAGATAAGCATAAAACCAACTTTTGAAGGATGTGGCACCGCAACTTTTCGGCGGACAATTCACCGCTTCTGTCAAGACTTGAAGGGCAAAAGAACGGTGGTGAAACACCCACAGGCATACGCTTCAAGCTTCTACTTGCCTCATTCGCTTCCCCGATTTCAACTCTTGTCAAACACAACTACAAAGATGCGTGAGAGAACGATGGTATGCGCGAGAGAACAAAAGGTACGCGCGAGAGAACAATGGGCGGACAAGTATGCGCGAGAGAACGATGGCCGGGCGAGCATGCGTGGAAACGCAAGTCTTGCTCGTTCATCTACCAGTGTTTCCAAGTCCCCAGGTTGAAGAGAACGATTGTGAAGCATGTGCATGCTAGAAGTGAATGGGCACCCACGCCGCAGATTTAGGATTAACAACCCACTAATGTTGAACTCATCTTCAAAGGCGGGCCTTCAGCTCATGCCTAAACCATCTCACTCTTTTGGCTGGTGTCGTCAAGAACATACTGGGATGGGAGACCGTTTGGGGTTTATTTTGCGCAATGCACGTATGCCAGTTCGCGATATGTGTCAAGTTGCCAGCTGCCAACTCCAGTGGATTGGTGAAGAGCAGGTCATCGCATGATGCACACGGTAGGCTTACTCCTGCAGTTCGGACCCAGCACAGTGGCACAGGTAAGATGAGTTCATGCTGCCAAGCATGGCCTGGTGTATCCCACACGTGGAGTCTGTTTCTGGGAGATACCTGGCAACTCCTGAACTCTGCAGCTTCAACTCTTTTTCTGCATAAGCAAACCCGGACATGTCGGAGGGGTCACCGCGCAAACAACCTCGCCCACAATATGCACTGGATCACCTTGGATGTTTACAATCGAAGCAAGCGACTGCTGCTGATGATATGTTTTCCTAAGCTGCTGAGCGCTTCGCTGCTTGTGGTGCAAGGTTGCACAAAGCGCTTTCGGCATGGGCACAGCTCATTGCCCATGGGCGCTCGCAGCGCATTTTGTCGCACTAAACACGTTCGTGCAACTGAGACTTCTGCCTACTAATCCAAGCTTGCCATGTGATGCGCAATTTTGATGTGATGAATAGTGGCTCGGCTCTGAGATTGAAACCTATCAATCTAAGAAGACAGGAATGTGTAAAACAGCTTCTGGGAACGCCAAAGTTGCTGACATGCCGACCGCAACAATGCACATGCATACGGTCGAAAGGCCCGGAATGGCCGCATGTAGGAATGTGTGCCTTGAAGAGAGCGAATACGCGCCGAGCAAGCCGCCCAAAGCACGGATGATCACCTCACCAAACTGATCCCACGAAAGCACTGAGGCTGATACAGCAAATGCAATTGGACGCTCTCTGGCTATTGAAAGAGTAGTCTGGCAAAAAGCATCTATTCATGAGCTTGCAGTCAAGGTTCCCTTGATGGTTGGCCAACCCAGCATGGTGGGCTATGATTCTACAGCGACGCAGGTGCAAGCCTCAAAAACGGAAATCTCACGGTCGGCTTGGTCAAAATCAAGCTCGTTCTCCACAAATGCAGTACCTCCCACGATCTTAATGTCTGGCAGCTTGCAACAAGCATGCACGGCTATTGCTATCGAGAGGACAAGTGAATGCAAGTACCCTTCAAGCAACAAGCTGCCTTGGTCGAACTCCTTCTTCAAGCCCATCAGCCAGAGAGTTGTGAGCGAGTCAATGATTGTCATTCCAATGTTGCCAAATGTGTCCTTTCCTGCAAGCACTGGGCTTGTTGCAGCAAGGACCCCTACAATGGTTCGGTCTGTCCTTCCAGCGAAATGGGCTTGATCTCATCAGCTCCCCACGCGTAACCTCTGTTCAGAGCGATGCGGAGTGCGTTCTCTATATACATGTGCTTGATCTATGGGCAGAACTACCGATTTGCTGCCACCAGATTGAACCCTGCCACAAAAAAGTCACGTGATGGCTCAAACAGAGTGGAACTCAAACCAAAACAACAACTGTCTTTAGATTCAGACCAAGCTACGCTTGTACCCATTCCAAGCATGAAGGAATGCCTCCTTCACGTCAAACGCCAACACCTGCGCGGTCGCACATTCATTGAAATGCCAAGTGCAAACGTGTTTTGCGGGTTCAACTCTCTTGGTGCTTTTAGCAGCGCACAAATGCGACAAACAATTGCTGTGGTGATGCAATAGACGGCTGCTTGCAATGCTTACTCATGTTGGCTTTGAGCTGAGATTTCGCAGGCAAAGCACTTGCAATGAGCACCTGACCATCCTGAGTCATTTCGGGCCAGATTCTAGAATATGTTGATGCCAAACAAGCTTACACATGGGAAGCAGCACAGTCCAACCAGCGCATGCGCTTTCGGCCTCGTATTTGGTTTCCACTCCTTGCGGCAGGCGTGCTGCACGTGTGTGTGTGTCTACTAGACTGGAGTGGGGGAGCTAAGCACCAAAGCCATCTTGGCCTGACAAGCCTTGAGAACAAACATAAACAAACAAAACAAACTGATCCATTCGTGCGCCTGTGTAGTTTCCACCAGCTTCAGCGGCTTCACTTGTTGCATGATCGAATTCCAGGCGCCTCAGTGCGCCCGAGAAATGATCGGTCTAATATGATGGATGGTGAATAGAGCATGCCCGCAGGAGAGCAACCAACAGTGCTCTGCAAACACGCCTGCCTTAAAACGGGCATGGGACAAGGAAGTTCTTGAAGCTACAACAGAGAGCCCCTTTCCTGTTGACGGGTGAGACCAGATTGTGGTGCAACAGTTTCACCAGTTTCCCTACTGTCAGACACCCGGTTGCCAATCAGCGCGTTTGTGCAGGCTGTCTGCATTACTGCCCACAGGGCTGGGAAGCAGTGAGATTCCTTCAAGAAAGGGATCTTCCAAACTTCCACTTTAGAAACCTGTCAAATCCCTAAACACCGGTCCAACTCCAGTCAAGTCCCCCTAGAAATCGGCGACATTCCCCCTAGAAACAGATTGTCCAGAAATTGGCACCTTCGCCTTGCCCAAGTCCTTCTGACCCTTGAAGTCATGTGGAAATGTGTGGACATGCACCCACCCCCTACCGTGGAAACCCTCACACATTTTTGCGCCGACTCACTCACTCTAACAAATATATAATGTAATATAATGCTTCAAGGCGAACAAAAACACAGTACATACCTCAAGGCCGAGGAGGGCAACGCGAAGCGTTTACAATTGGCCGTAGTCCAAGGGCAAGCGGGCTGTTGCTGGGTGACTTTTCCAAGGGCCACAGCCACAGCCGCATTCTAGGCTAGCTGAAACTAAGGGGGGGCAGCAACCTAATTTGGCGCAGGCATTTTTTGCAAGTGCTGTTGTTGCAGCTTGCCTCTGGCCAACTTCATTGATTGCTGCCTGCTCCGACAACCCCCTTCCATGTTGCTGCCAACCCCTGTGCTTGCGGGGCGAGAGAAGCGTGCGCGCATGAAAAGGCAAGGAACTTGTCCTTCCACCGCCGTACCCCCTCTGGGTTGAGCGGCCTCATCCATGGTTCGACCTTGCCGAGGTCACTGGCTTCTGCGGCGCAGCACGCCCATTTGGAATGCTGGATGCTCTATTCCAACCTGCCAGTCCAGTCCGCTTCCTAGCCTTCTCGTAAACATGCGCGGGGTGGACTCTGTCGCCGCACGCTCAGCCTCGAAGGTCATGCTTGGCCGAGTTCAACCTTGGACTCTGCCCGCTGATTGGCGTCATGTGAGGGCTGACCAGTTGCAATAGAACCGTCCCGTGACTGCTCCACTGATCATCCTGCTCAAGATCTCATCATATAAGGGCGGGCCAGCTACCAAATGTTTGGCAATCCCCCGAATGAAGATGCTTGCCCGCCTCACCGTCTCACCTCAGGACTCTCGTTGTGCAAGCCTGGGCCCCAACCAGAACAGTGCATGCGTGCAAAGTCTTGCTGTGAGCCGCTGAATGTCGACGACGCCGTGCCCTTATCATCGATGACGAACTGGCAGCCAGCGCTTGTTTTTCGGCTTTTAACTCCGATTCATTGCCCCGCACGGCCGAGAGGGATGTTTGTTCCAGCGAGTCTGCTGCGCTTCGCTTGAACTTCACAAGCCCCGAAGCCAAAGGTAGCGGACGTAGTAGTGGTGATGGTAGTAGTAGTAGTAGTAGTAGTAGTAGTAGTAGTAGTAGTAGTAGTAGTAGTAGTACTAGTAGTAGTAGTAGTAGTACTAGTACTAGTAGTAGTAGTAGTAGTAGTAGTAGTACTAGTAGTAGTATTATCAGTAGCAGGAGCAGCAGCCGCAGCAGCAGTAGCGGGAGAATACATGTTAAGCTTAGCGTGAATGCAAGTTGAACTTCGGGCTCAATGCTGGGCGGAGTTGGTTGGTGTGGTAGCGCACGAGTGCGAGTTCAACCCGCGTTCAGCCTGGGTTGAACCCAAGTTGATTGAGACACTTTACCCTTATCCAAGTCGTACTCCAAGCCACCCCTTAGGGAGATACAGTTGAATCAGTCATCAGCCGTGCCATTCTACACCCATCACATGCCAATGATTGCTTCAAAATGTACAATTCCTGTTGACTTGAGCCCGCTTTCTCAAGTGCGGGTGGGCCACAAGGAAGCAGGCTCTAGTGGCAGGCCACCTGCAGTCATTTGCAGCCTCTAAACACTTTGAGATGTCCTGGACACAGTGCATGCCTGGGGATGCAGGGATGCATGCTATTACTGCCTACCCGGCCTGCAAGCGCGTCCAGCCAAACATCAACAGCACCGCCAGCCCTGCTTCGAAGCAGCACCACGGCCTGGCAGGCTCGACATATGGACCAACGTAGGCATGAAAGGGTGTCTTTTCCCTCATGAGTAGCCAACAACGGTCATGGCTTTGGTTTTGTTGCGGCAGGTCGTCACAACCATACATCTTGTGCTTCACTGCACAGCGATCGAAGCATTGCATTCGTGCAAATCAGGTTCTTGAACTACATCGCGTTCCTCATAATATTAAGGTTGTTCAACAAACATAAGGTCCCACCATGGAAGATCGCACCCACAACATGAGGAATGGTGGAGGCAGCGCAATTTTGGGCTGGGGCCATCTCTGACACTAGGGGGGTTTGTAACAGACCTCGCCCGGGGTTGTATGAAAAGGGGGTGATACACTGTTCGATCCTTTTCGGGTGTTATCGTTTTACAGGGTTTTGCGCCTCCGCAACATTGCAGTACAAGTGTCATGCGCGAAGTACACTTTAGCAGCTCCGGCTCAGAAGTCGCAACTTGTTCGTGCAGTTGGCAATTTCTTTCCTTGCAAAAACAAACACGGCGCAACACTAAAGCCCCCTTTTTATGCAACCCCACCTGAAGTCTGGACAATAGGAGTTTACTCCCGTGCCTGGCCACGGCTCATTGCAAAGCGTCCGCCAGAAGAAAGCATTTCGAGTGACCTGAATCACATTTCGCAAAACAGCCAAAGGGTGTAGCTAGTACAGTGGAGCAACATGTGCAGGCTGCCGACCTGGAAGAAGAGCGAAGGATTAGATTGCCGCAATCTGAACCTGAACATCCGGCTGGCTTGTGTTCATGTCATCGCCCATGCTCTCAACCGCCAGCTTTTGTACGGTCTGGCGCCTATGTCCGCATCCATCGGATTGCCAAGCTGATCAATAGTCATAAGCACCACCTGCAATGCATGGGACATTGTGCGCTGCTTAAACCTGTGAGACTGTGACGCACATGTGCAGGGAGCCGCCCCCCCGCCCGCATTCCGCAGGGTCCAAACCCAAGCTTTGAGCAAGACTGCGAAAGTTCCTGCTTGCGATTGTTTTTGCATTAACATCTCTGGCCGCGAGCACTTCTGCGGCACTCCCAACGCCTGGTGCACGATGAGCGTTGGCAACTTTGCAGAGGTATTGCCTGTGCCGTTCGAGCTTGCAGTAACGCGCGCCGGCCACACACACAAACAAGCAAAAAACAAACAAACAAACAAACAAACAAACACGCAAACAACCAACCAACCCACCAAACAAACAACCAAACAACCAAGCAACAAACAAACAAACAAACAAACAAACAAACAAACAAACAAAGAACGCACACACACACACACACGCACACACACACACACACACACGCACACACACACACACAAAAACACACACACACACAAAAACACACACACACACACACACACACACACACACACACACACACACACACACACACACACACACACACACACACACACACACACACACACACACACACACACACACACACACACACACACACACACACACACACACAAACACACACATACACACACACACCCACGCACCCACACACACACACAAACACACACACACACAAAACACACACACACACAAACACACACACACACACAAACACAAACACAAACAAAAACACAAACACAAACACAAACACAAACAGAAAAACAAACACAAACACAAACACAAACACAAACACAAACACAAACACAAACACAAACACAAACACAAACACAAACACAAACACAAACACAAACACAAACACACACACACACACACACCCGCACGCACACGCACACGCGCACGCGCACGCGCAACGCACGCGCACGCGCATGCACACGCACACGCGCACACGCGCACGCGCGCACGCGCACGCACACGCGCACGCGCACGCGCACGCGCACGCGCACGCACACGCGCACGCACACACACACACGAGCACACACACACACGAGCACACACAAACACGCACCCACACCCACACCCGCGCACACGCACACGCACACGCACACAGGCACACACACACACACACGAGCACACACACACATACACACGAGCACACACACACACGAGCAAAGACACACACGAGCACACACACACACACACACGCACGCACACACACACACAGACACACACACACACAGAGACGCACACACACAGAGACACACACACAGAGACACACACAGAGACACACACACAGAGACACACACGGAGACACACACACAGAGACACACACACAGAGACACACACACACACAGAGACACACACACATAGACACACACACAGAGAGACACACACAGAGAGACACACAGTGACACACACAGAGACACACACAGAGACACACAGAGAGACACACAGAGACACACACAGAGACACACACAGAGACACACACAGAGACACACACAGAGACACACACAGAGACACACAGAGAGACACACAGAGACACACACACAGAGACACACAGAAACACACAGACACACACACACACACGAGCACACACACACACACGCACACACAAAACAAAACAAAAAAAACAGAAACACCCACACACAAAACCCACCCACACACACAAACATCAAACAAACCAAACCAAAACAAAACACAACAACAAAGAAACAAACCAGTAAACACACTAAACCACACCCACACACACACATACACACAAAGAGCTCTGCATCTTCGTGTTCCAGCATATTTCTGGCCAAGCAGCCTGTATAGCCGGGCTGCTTTGCCACAAGGCTTGTGAACGCCTGCCACGTTTGTGCTCAACGGTCATGTGATCAACACAAATCCGTGACACTCCCACGTGACAGGCGCACATATGGCTGAACTGCCAGTTTGTAACTTCCTGCCGTTCCAGGGCGCTCTGGGCAGGTTGCCGCGTCGCGGTGTATACTCAATGCATTTCAATACCTGTCATGCACCCTGAGGATGACACGGAATGCTGCAGCAGTAAACCGCACTGTTGACCTGCGCTGGCAAGTCACTGCTCACCACGCCGCATGCCGTTTGCGTTGAGAAATGGTGCGGCTTTGGGCAGTGCTTCAGCCGAAGACAGCACTTCGGCCCGGGCGCAAGCGCAGACCCACCCAATAGGCAAACCAGGGTCGTCCCCAGAACAGGCGGCTGGGCGCTTCAAACACAGCCCGGTCGCAATTGACGAGTGCGGGGTTTGATCACTTCTGGCAAAGCTTAAGCCAAACATGACATTCAACCTGGAAACATCCCCAAAGCGCACTAATCGTTGTCTGCGCCAATCCTCCGATCTGGCAGCGTAGCAAGAAGTGCCCTCGCCAAACTGCAACGCAGCGGCCTGTAAACCAAAGGCAAGCTTGAGCCTTGAGCGCTTTCTACCTGAACCTGGGGGCAGGGCTGCAAGGTGCGCCGCGAGCAAGCGAAACAACAAAATTTGAATTGCAGGTGTCACTGTTCAGCAAATTCTTGACAGGTGCCCGGCTTCAACTGCAATTTGCTCAGCCCTGCTGTCCTGCGTCACGGCCGGTTTGGCTAGCACTGGCATACCTTTTTGGAACCAATATTGCTTACTCTGAGCACAAGTGCTGTGCCAGGAGTGTGGTCTGCGGAGTACGCTTCCTTGATGTTGAGAATCATCATTGATCCGGTCCAATTCGCAATGCTGGCCAATTGACCATTGCCACTGCAGCCTCTGGCACAACGCTTTGTGGATGCACACAGCGGCCTCACAAGTCTTCACTGGCTCTGTAAATGTGGCAGGGATGCTAACATTCACGCGGACGCCGCCAGACCTTGAAGTCACGCCACAAAATCAGACCATACTTTGACATTGGGCCAAGAACAACTAAATCTTTGATATAGGAAGCAGCTGAGCTCTCGGCTTTGCAGGGCGGCCCTAGCAACAAACTGCTTTTGCCACTCTGGCAAGAAGAATGGACAACAAACATGACCAAAGAAAAACAACCATCTCAGAACGCGCCTTATAATCCAGAGCAGCCAGGACAGTGCGAAACTCGGTGCCGGCGGGCACCCCTGGTCAGAGCCGCTTACGCCAAATTGTCTGAATGACTTCTGGCAAAACGAGCATAGCAAACTCAGCCTGCTTCTGAGTCATCCAGGAAAAGCCACTGAAATGATGCCTAAAGCCACGCAACGCGCAAACAAAGCTAGGGCAACCATCTAAGCTGAACACAGCTTCTTAACTGGAAGCCAAGAAACTGCATTTTTGCTACTTTGAGCTATCATCATGCCGTGACATGGCGTGTCAAACGCTATCATCAACCAGCCGATTCTTTGTGGGACGGCCAGCTTTCCGAGACCTCGGCCGGTGAGTCCGAGGAGCCACGCCTCGCGCAGCCACGCACAGAAAACACACTCACAGATCAACACGTCTACTGTGCTGGGGTGATGCGCTCGAGCGTACACACGGCAACACGCCCACCACACGCTTGCGCAAACACACAAAACAAATGAAGACAACACGGAGCCAAACAAACAAACTACACCAGCACAAACCACAAATAGCGAACAACTGCCACAAACACACGCACGGACACGGACACAAACACACACACAAACACAAACACACACACACAAACACAAACACACACACACAAACACAAACACACACACAAACACAAAAACAAACAAACGCACACAAACACAACACTCACACACAACACACACACAAACAAACACACAAACAAACACACAAACAAGCACACAAACAAACACACAAACAAACACACCCACACACCCACACACCCACACGCACACACACACGCACACGCTCACGCTCACGCACACGCACGCACGCACGCACGCACGCACGCACGCACACACGCACACACGCACACACGCACGCACGCACGCACACACGCACCCACACACACACACACACACACACGCAAACACGCAAACACGCAAACACGCAAACACGCAAACACGCAAACACGCAAACACACACACAAAAACACACAAAAACACACAAACACACAAACACACAAACACACAACCACACAAACACACAAGCACACAAGCACACAAGCACACAAAGCACACAAGCACACAAGCACACAAGCACACAAGCACACAAGCACACAAGCACACACGCACACAAGCACACACACACAACAAACACACACACACACACAAAAGCACACAAACACAAACACCAAAGCACACACACGGACACCTGCTCACACGCAGACACAGACACAGACACAGACACAAACACACACACACGTACATACATACGCACACACACACACAACACAACACAACGCGCAACGCGCAACACGCAACACACAACACACAACACACAACACACAACACGCAACACGCAACACGCGACACGCAAAAAAACAAAAACGCACACACACACACACACACCCATCCAATCTGCACACGCACGGACGCAGGCAGACACACAGACACGCAAACACACAAACAATTAAATAGACAGGAAGGCAGGCAGGCAGGCAGGCAATCAGGCAGGCAGACAGAGGGACACACACAAGCACACACGCATGTACACACAGAAGCACGCACACATACACAAAGACACACACACACACGCACAAAGAAACGCACCACAAAGACACAGAGATGCACAGGCACACGCGGAGACACTGAGACACACACACACATACACACAGACACCTGGAGCTGTGATGAGGAGAAGCTGGTGGAGAATGTGATTCGTGCACAAATCCTGAATCCCGAATCCCGAACCCCAAGGCCAGACCAAAGGCTGGGGCCTTTCCAGCCTCGAATCCTCCCGAAACCCGAATCCCGAAACTCGAATCCGAGGCTTGGGCC